GGGAGGGAGGGAAGGTGGAGGGAGCAGAGGGGAGGGAGGGGAGGGAGAGGGGGAGGGTAGCAGTGTGAGGGAGGGAGGGAGAAGGGTGGAGGTGAGGGGAGGGGAGGAGGTAGGTGTGAGGGAGGGGAGGAGGTGATAGGTGTGAGGGGGGGGAGGGAGGGGAGGGTAGCAGGTGTGAGGGGAGGAGGGGTGGAGAGTGGGAGGGAGGGGAGGGAGGAGGGTAGGTGTGAGGGAGGGAGGGAGGTGGAGGGGAGGGAGGGGAGGGTAGCAGGGAGGGGAGGGGAGGAGGGGTGGAGGGTAGCAGTGTGGGAGGAGGGAGGGAGGGAGGGTGAGGGGGAGGGAGGTGGAGGGGTAGCAGTGTGAGGAGGGAGGGAGGGGAGGTGGAGGGGGAGGTAGCAGTGTGAGGAGGGAGGAGGTGGGAGGGTAGCAGTGTGAGGGAGGGAGGAGGAGGGGGAGGGAGGGAGGTGGCAGTGTGAGGGGGGAGGGAGGAGGTGGAGGGTAGCAGTGTGAGGGAGGAGGGAGGTGGAGGGGGGAGCAGTGTGAGGGGTGGGGCAGGGAGGTGGAGGGTGGTGTGAGGGGAGGAGGGAGGGGAGGGAGGTGGAAGGGAGGTGGCAGTGTGTGTGGAGGGAGGGAGGTGGGAGGGGTGGGCAGGGAGGGGAGGGAGGGGAGGTGGGAGGGTAGTGTGAGGGAGGGAGGGGAGGTGGGAGGGGTAGCAGGGAGGGGAGGAGGGAGGTGGAGGGTGACAGCAGTGTGAGGGAGGGAGGGAGGGAGGGGTAGCAGTGTGAGGGAGGAGGGAGGTGGAGGGGGCAGTGTGAGGGAGGGAGGGGAGGTGGAGGGTAGTAAGTGTGTGAGGAGGGAGGGGAGGTGGAGGTAGCAGTGTGAGGGAGGGAGGGAGGTGGAGGGGTAGCAGTGTGAGGGAGGGAGGGGAGGTGGGGTGGAGGGTAGCAGTGTGAGGAGGGAGGTGGAGGGCAGTGTGGGGGAGGGGAAGGTGGAGGGTAGGCAAGGGGGAGGGAGGGAGGGAGGTGGGAGGGGTAGCAGTGTGAGGGAGGAAGGGGAGGGCAGGAAAGGTGGTGAAGTGGGATGGGCAGGGGTGTGGGGATGGAGAGTGGAGGGCAGGGGTGTAGGGGATGGAAGGGAAGTGGAGGGCAGGGGTGTAAGGGATGGAAGGGAAGTGGAGGGCAGGGGTGTAAGGGATGGAAGGGAAGTGGAGGGCAGGGGTGTAAGGGATGGAAGGGAAGTGGAGGGCAGGGGTGTAAGGGATGGAGGGAAGTGGAGGGCAGGGGTGTAAGGGATGGAGGGAAGTGGAGGGTCTGCACCAGGAAGTTGTCGGAGCTGGTGACACACGACACGCCACCAGGCCTTGGGGGGGGAGGTGGTGGGTGGTGCTTCGGGTTCTCTGTGATCATCTGTCAGGTTTTGTTTATTTATTTGTAAGTCTTCTCTCTCTCTCTCTCTCTCTCTCTTCTTGTAATTGTTTCCAGGAAGGATGCGTGTATGACCTGCCCGAGACGCATCGACCGCAAAACTATCATAACTTATTATTATTTTTATTAATATTTATTTATTTATTTGTTTATTTATTTATTGTTTACCGGGTTGGTTTGTGTTGAACCTCCGTAGATAATTTGGTGTATTGAGAAGCTTCGAATCACTGTACTGGTTTATGGAAGCAGGTTAATTAGTTATCTGTATATTGGTTATTGAAACTTGGAATCTCTTAAGTATTTATATTAGTTTATGGTGGTTTCGTTCACGATACTTGTTTCTGAAGCTTCGAATCAGGAAACTGCTTCATGAACCCTGAGATAACACTTATTTTTTTGAAGCTTGAGTCGATGAAGCGTCGGTCTTACTATTCTTGGTTCTGAAGCTTCGAATCTGCCATAACCGCTCCACGAACCCTGAAATGGGATGAATATTGTATTAGGTTGGTGAGCCCGGCCGAGCTCTGCCATTTGTAAGATTATTTGAGAGGAATCAATCACCATTACCAGAGGATCAGTGAGATGAGTCCTGGGAGAAAACTATCCAGGAAGACTCTTGTGATAGTCCAGTGGTGTATCTTAGGAGTATCACACACACACACACACACACACCCATTCTCTCTCTCTCTCTCTCAGGTTGAGGAGCGTAAGGAGAGGAATAGGGAGGGTGGGGGGAGAGGCCTAAGAAGCTTGAGCGAGAGATGTCGTGCTGCTGAGGTCATGATACCCTTCTACCACACACACATTCTAGCCTAATGGAGCCTCTTGCCTCTCCGTATTGTTCTCTTTATGAGTTTTATTTTGTATGTTTTATTTTTCTTTGCTTTCATTTCCCTCACCTCTCTTCTTTTTCTTTTATCCCCATTGTTATTATTTTATATCCTTGTTTTCTTCTCCTCCTCCTCTTTCTTCTTCTCCTCCTCCTCCTCCTCCTTCGCAGTTTCATGTTACGGCATACACAGCAAGTAGAAATCCTCGACAAAATAGATTAGGACACGTGTACCTTATTCTCCCATTGCTAGGACTGATTAGGACACGTGTACCTTATTCTGCCATTGCTAGAACAGATTAGGACACGTGTACCTTATTCTGCCATTGCTAGAACAGATTAGGACACGTGTACCTTATTCTGCCATTGCTAGAACAGATTAGGACACGTGTACCTTATTCTTCCATTGCTAGAACAGATTAGGACACGTGTACCTTATTCTGCCATTGCTAGGACAGATTAGGACACGTGTACCTTATTCTTCCATTGCTAGGACAGAATTAGGACACGTTTGGTCTACTTCACCAGAGGTCCAGTTGATCACAAGAGGTGTTTCGGTTTGGCATTTATCATTTGGCAGGACATAGTGTTATTGCTTCAGCTCTCAGACGAATTACAGAGCTCGGCTTTGAAAAGTATTACAAGCTGTTAAGAAAAGACGTAATTCAAAAACTCTTCTGTGGGTTTTTTCAATATTTTCTGAGATGAAGACCATAAGTACCCAATGTTAGGTAATAATAATAATAATAATAATAATTTACATGCATGACCTCAACAAAATCTTCTGGGGTCACAAACAACATGGGCGTCAACAAAGCATCAAGAATCTGAGCGTATGATGTTGCTGTTGTTGGTGTTGTTGGGTGATAGGCCAGTCATGCGGTCAGCTACTGGAAAAACAGGAAGAAATGTTGTGTATTGATGAAGGTCGTGGTGAATATATTGATGCCAAGAAATATAACAGGATATATGCTACACTGATCAAGAGTATAGCGTGATATAGTACACTGATCAAGAGTATAGCGGCATATATTACACTGATCAAGAGTATAGCGTGATATATTACACTGATCAAGAGTATAGCGTGATATAGTACACTGATCAAGAGTATAGCGTGATATATTACACTGATCAAGAGTATAGCGTGATATAGTACACTGATCAAGAGTATAGCGTGATATATTACACTGATCAAGAGTATAGCGTGATATAGTACACTGATCAAGAGTATAGCGTGATATATTACACTGATCAAGAGTATAGCGTGATATAGTACACTGATCAAGAGTATAGCGGCATATATTACACTGATCAAGAGTATAGCGTGATATAGTACCCTGAATTTCCTCCCCTTCCTCAAATCTCCCCCTCCCCTTTTTTCTTCCTTCCTCTTCCTTCCTTTGTCCTCTCTCCCTTAATTTCCCTCCTACTTACCCATCCTCCTCCCTCCTTCCCTCCCTCTCCCTTTTCTTTCCTCATCCCTCATTCCCTCCTTCTTTCTTCACCCATGTCCCCCTTTCCTCCCTCCTTTTTCCTTTTCTTTTCCTCCCCCTCCTGCCACTCCACCCCCTCCCCCTCCCTCCCTCCCCTCCTCCCTCCCTCCCCTCCCTCCTCCCTCCCCCTCCACTCCCCTCCCCTCCCCTCCCCTCCCTCCCCTCCCCTCCCAAACTAACAAGATAAAGCTTTAGTAATAATAATTACTATGCACTGTACAGGAGGCAACGTCAACAGGTGGTGTTAAGGAGTGCCTGAGTGTACAGGGACTAATATACGGAACTTATTAGTGTGTGTGTGTGTGTGTGTGTGTGTGTGTGTGTGTGTGTGTGTGTGTGTGTGTGTGTGTGTGTGTGTGTGTGTGTGTGTGTGTGTGTGTGTGTGTGTGTGTGTGTGTGTGTGTGTGTGTGTGTGTGTGTGTGTGTGCAGATTAACCCTCCCCTGCGTATGTATGTATGTAGAAGGGTGCAACCAAGTTCAATTGTATTGCCACAAATCATAAATAAACAAAGAGACATTACGTTGAAGGAAGATTTGCATAACAAGTGCAGGAGAAGATTACAAACAAAACCTCCATATCTACCGCACACGGGTGAAAAATAAATATGATACTTCATCAGGGGGGTGAAAGGTTTAAGACTGCTCAGGAAGGAGGTGAGGAAGAAGAGACCGACAGGGGGGCAGGGGCAGCGGGAGACCGACGGAGGAGAGGGGAAGGAGGGAAAGATAGACGTAGAAAGGGAGAGGCAGAGAAGGAGGAAGGGGGGGGGGGTGGAATCTCTCCTCTTATCTCTATGCATCTCCCAGAGTCTTTGTGTTGGAGTAACTTGGGTCACGTGGTCGGTGCTGATACTGTGTGTGTGAAATACTGAACGTTTTATTTGTATCGTTGTTGGCTGTGTTGTAATTGTTGCCGGTGCTGGCTAAAGTCTGTCTGGAATTATACTGAAAGTGAAAGGGAACGCCGGGCGCTGTTCATTACCTTCACTGTCGATGTTGTTATAATACGGGCAGCCATGACTGATTTATCAAGTGTTCTTGTATGATAAGTTCTTCATTTCTTGTTTATGTCCAACATCGTTACTGGTGAACACACTGTGATAGCTACTGTACGCTAACCTCAAGCACATCAATGATATTTTCGGTGTGTAGACGAGACCAGTGTAAGGATGACAGACAAATTTGTGTGAGGTTGTTGTTAGTCGTCACATCAAATACTTGTATCGATCCGCAACTTTCTTGTTCGTGTCAACTAATATGTTTTTATCTCGTTGCAGGTGGCGTTGGAGTTGGTCGCCAAGATGAGGTTGACGACGTCGACTGTACTGTGTCACGTGACGTAGTGTCTGCTGTAGCTCACGGTGCTGGCCCACGTCATCTGTGTCACGGTGGCCACACCATAAAGAAGTAAAGAGCAAACTGCTGGGAGCTCTAAACTGGCCCGAAAGACAAGTTGTACAGTGTTGGACGCGTTGGTCCAACGTGTGGGCGTGTGGGCTCACCGGGTGGGCGTGTGGCGGGCTGGTGTGGGCGTGTGGGGCCAGCGTGCGGGCGTGTGTGATGGTGGGGTGTGAACGCCTCCCAGGAAGATGAGTTCGAGCGACGTGGGCGCGGTGGTCGGAGCGGTGCAGTGGGGGGACGAGGGCTCCTACGTGAGGGAGGTGGCCGCCCGTGGTCCCTTGCCCCAGCTGGCAAAGGTCATCAAAGGTCAGTACCTGGGCGTGGGCGTGCCCTCCCTGGCCAACCCCGGCCTCGCCTCAACCCTTCTCCTCCTGTCCGCGGGGCGTGGACTCCGCGTCGCCGCCCAGTGCGTCAAGTTCAAGGAAGGACGTCGTGTCGTTCCCGTCGGCCCCAAGCTGATCATCCCAGAGAGTTACGATGGTTTCTTCGAGATCCTTAGTGAGGACGGGCGTGCTGTGCGATGCATGGAGAGCGTGTCGGAGCTGGCCAAGCGTTTTCCTGACTCCGCCCTGGTGCGAGAGAACATGAAGGCGTACGTGTCGCGCTCCGACGACGTTGACACCATCACAGAGAAGTCACGGGCGGTTCAGGCTGGCGAAACGCTGGTGCTGGTAGGTGAGGTCATAGGCTCCAAGAACAACGGCAAAAATCAACATCGTTTCCTCCGCTGCTTCGACCAGGCTGGACAAAATGTGTATCTACCATATGACTCCCGAGGAAAGTTCTCGGCCATAGCCAAGGAAGACAACATCAGCGGCGTACACAGCATCCGCAACTTGCTCAACAAGCGATTGCCTCTCATGGTCCGCATGGTGCACGGCCGCCCGCCCGTTGGTGCCAAGGCCGCAGCTCAGTTCTTACCAGAGCTGAGACTTTTTGCTGCTTTTTCAGAGGAGCCGCTGGCGGCGTTACCTCTTGGGAAGGACGCGCCACTTATCTTGCTCCCTCCTGCAGCCCCGCTCAAACTGGCACACGCCCGCAACGCTGACCAAGTGGAGAAGACGAAAGAGTTCTTGAGGCTGTGTGAACGCGCCAATTCACTGCTACAGGAGGTGGCGGACAGGATACATGTCTATGACGTATCGATGGGGAATAAGGGCGGCATGCGTGACCCTCGTTTCTCCAATTGGCCTGACCAAAACAAGCACCGCCACAAGCACCATCACCATCACAATCACCACCGTCCACATCGTACCAAGAGTCCTCCTGAGAACAAACAGTCTGGCGGCGACAGCAACGCACCCGACGACTATGACGAGATTGATCAGATCTACGACTATGTTCGAGGCTTCGCCCCACTACCCAAGCACATCAAGTCCCCCTACGCCAGCGACGACCATTCAGCCCACAGCCGCAGGCCGCAGCCGCCTCCAGTGTCGTCGGAGAGGACCGACGTGAGGCCTACGCCACCGCCCATCGAGACCATCCCCTCCCGCCGTGGCGACCAGCGACCCTACGAGAAACTCTCGCCCTCAGTCCACCCGGCACTCATTTCTGCTGCCCTGGACCGTGCAGCAGAGCGAAGGGTCGAGAAACGCTCAAGAAAATCTGACGAAAAGAAGAGCAGCAGTCAACAGCAGCAGCAACAACAACAGCAGCATCAGCAGGTACAGCAGTCCCAGCAACAGTCCCCGGGGCAGTTGTCATCACCGGTGACGCCGCTTCAGGAGAACAAACCTGGCAACAATAAACTTTTTGTGAAGGCGTCACAGCAGCGGACACAGAAGGCTCGGATGTTCCGTCACAAGTCAGCGTCGCCTGTGAAGGAGGCGCTGATGGAGGTGGGGAGCGTGGGTCCTGGTGGAGGGGTTGGGCCGGTGGTAGGCGGGTCGTCGCCTTCTCCACTGTTCAAGCTGCGCTATAAGTCCCTCACCAACTTGGCCATGGACTTCGACACACTGGACTCGAGCACCTCAGGCGGAAAAGGGTCAGCGGATTCAGGAGGATCGGGTGCCATCAAGGCCAAACTTCCGGAGAAACGGAGTCGAAAGTTGACGAGGCCGAAGAGTTTGACCAACCTCGTGTGGGACGGACGAGGGGCTCCGTCAGATTCCATGGGCATAGGAGGGACGTCTCGGGCCCTGATGGAGGCGGAGAGGAAACTGAGGCTGGAACCTGGCGTGTACCGCCACGCCCGGGAGACACCCGCCATGATCGCCGCCACCTCCAGACTTCTCGCCTCTCAGAAGAAGATTGGCACACTCTATTTATGAGGTCAGTACAACCTTGAATCTGTCACTGTTAATACAGCTGTAAACCGGGATGGGGTGAGTCGAGTGCCTGGGTGCTGCCCTTACCTCTCACCCATCCTTGTTCTACAGCCCTGTGTTTAGATACAATAGATACAAACATTAAGGTCTACGGGTTTTCTTTTGTGAATTTCTATTTTTTGTGATAAATGCTTAGATTATTTTTGTAGCAGTGCACAAGACAGGCCTACAGGACAGGTAAGCCTCACTACAGGACAGGTAAGACTCACTACAGGACAGGTAAGCCTCACGGTCATGTATCACTGTCCAGGTGACAAGAGGCGACCAGATGAGGTGGACAGGTGAGGTCGGTCACACTGTATTTAACCCCTAAACCCTTAGCCTTCTTGATCACCATAAACCGCCGCTGCTGCTGCTGTGTTATTCAGGAGAACTTAAGATAAGAACCAGAGTTATGGAGAGAAAGTTTGGTGGCTATGAAAGGTGAATAGTGGGATGTGGCCAGGTAAGAAGTGTTGCTGGGTACGTCAGGGGAGGAATGTGGCCAGGTAAAGAGTGTTGTTGGGAGGTACGCCAGAGGGATGTGGCCGGTAAAGTTTGCAGGTACGTCGGGGAGGAATGTGGCGGGTGAGTGTTGCTGGAGGTACGTCAGGGGGGATGTAGCCAGGTAAAGTGTTGCTGGAGGTACGCCAGAAGGAGAATGTGGCCAGGTAAAGAGTGTTGCTGGAGAGTACGTCAGGAGGGATGTGGCAGGTAAAGAGTGTTGCTGGAGGTACGTCAGGGGGGGAGGGGGATGTGGCCAGGTAAAGAGTGTTGCTGGAGGTACGTCAGGGGAGAGAGGGGCTAATCAGTGTTCTGGTATTGTGGCCAGTGGTAGTAATAATTATTGTTGTATAAGTAACGAGGTTTGAAGACATAACATTAAACTCGAGTGATACTTTCTGGAGTCGTAGTAGATGTAGGTAAAGTCAGTAAGGCGCAGCAGTAGAAAGACCTGGCGCTGTAGTGAAGTTGTAGCTCCTGACTGTGTGTGAACAAAGAGGGAAAGAAAAGAGTATAATTTAAGTCGAGAGTGATAATTATGCACATCTTATGAAGAGAAAATAATACCCAATCTTATTAAACTCTATTAAACTATGAAGCATAACGTAACCACCAGTTAATATCCTGTTGTTTATCTCGTCATAATAACATCATTATGGTTATTTAATTCTTACGGGTGTGATTGATAATGTTGTTTACCTTATATAGCAAAGTTTATAATAGTTCATACGGGTATTACCTGTATAATTATTTTACGTTTGTATATTGATTAGCAACATCTGCAAGGTGTTAGGAGCATCAGGTGTAGAGGAAGGTAAGGTTCACCAAGACACAGGTAAGGGGAGGCACCTGCACCACATCCTCCCAGGTGCGTCCACTCACCTGTGTAATAATGCCAGATTTGTGGTAGTTGACTTGTGAAGCTGTGGCAAAAAACAGGGTTGTTAGGGTTGGTGGATGTTGTGTGGTGGACGGTGGTGGATATTGTGTGGATGTGATGACAGTGGTGGATGATATGTGGTAGTGGTAATGACGTGTGACTGGTGGTGGTGGCAGATGATGTGATGGTGGTGACGACGGATGATATGGTGTCGGTGGATGGTGGCGGATGGTATGGTCGTGTTATATAGTATGTGGGTGTGGCGGTGACGCTGATCGTGTGAACATGGAGAGGATAATGGAATGGATGGAGTCACTCAAGCGCAGCCCTAACCTGTTGACGATGATGTACAAGCTGAGTTGAGGGAGGTGGTGTGCAAGGTGGGGGTGGCGTGCAAGGGTGGGGGAGTTGGGGGGGGGTGGCGTACAAGGTGGGGGTGGGGAGGTGGTGTACAAGGTGGGGGTGGCGTGCAAGGTGGGAAGTGGGGAGTGGTGTACAAAGGTGAGGGAGTGGGAGGTGGTGTGTACAAGGTGGGGGTGGCGTGCAAGGTCAGGGGTGGGGGAGGTGGTGTACAAGGTGAAGGAGGGTGCAAGGTGAAAGTGGGGGAGGTGGTGTACAAGGTGGGGGGGTGGTGTAAGGTGGGGGTGGTGTATACAAGGTGGGGGTGGGGGAGGTGTGTGCAAGGTGGGGGTGGTGGGTGGTGTACAAGGGGGGTGGTGGAGGTGGTACCACCAAAGTTGGGGTGGGGGATGGTGAGGCCTGGGGGGGTGAGGTGGTGTACAAGGTGGGGGTGGTGGAGGTGGTACAGGTGCGGGGTGAGAACAGAGGAGGAGAGGTAGTGGAGAGAATGTCTGTTGCATATATGCAAATGTCTTCTGTGTTTGTTTTTGTTACTGAATTAAACAACACAACTTCACTACTCTGTGTTGTGTCCCACAAGACTAAAAGAGGAAGCAATACGTAATGGCTTC